TAAAAGAACATAAATCATTATTGAAATAATCAGAAAAGGCTTGTACATTTATTTAAGTTGGGTTTGAAAAGGAAAAAAAATGTTTTTATGTGTTGGAAATTGTAAACACAGTTTTTACAAGTAAAATAAGCTTTTGATGCAGTTATTAGTTAATCAGACTGCAAGTTAGACATAAGATGAAAGCTGTGGGAAGTTTGCTTATCTAACTAAGACAGTGTGGCTGTTTGACAGCTGACTCTGTGACTGTCACAGCAGGAGATGCACAGGTGTAAAGCATGAATGAAGTTAAGCACTTTTGCATTTGAATGGAGCACAGCCTTTGTTAGTGTTATCAGCAGCACCTGAGCTTCTCAAGAATAAATATCTGCTGTGGAAAAAACAAAAAGACCCACTGATGTTTGTGTTCCTTTTCTATTCTATTATAGTTCAAAGCAAAATTTTCGCTACTTTAAAAAAAAATGAAGTTGCAAAGATTCATAAAATTTTATTGCTCATAGAGAGCTCGGAATATATTGCACCCAGGCCTCGCTTTCTTCTCAGATTTCAAAGATAATTAAGAGACTTTACAGCCAAAGGCACCAAACCACATCAGGGAAGTCTGGTGCTACATAAAAAAAATAAATACAGAAATAAAAAATAATAATGATTCATGGCCTTTACTCGGCATGTTTTCTGCAGGCAGTTTAAAGCTTTCTAAGGACTTTAACAGCTGTTTCGTTTAAATTTGTGAATTTATAGAATTGCTCAAACGCTTTCTGTATAGCCTGTGCACCAGAGAAATTTATGTGAAGTGGATGAGCTTCCAAAACCTGATGTTTTGTTATTTTAATTGATTAAATTTGTACATGCATGAAACTAAATCTTAAATATAATTGTACCTTTTATTTGATGGTGGTAATTTTCTTTTGACTCGAGAGGAATGTGTTTTTATTTTCAACTGAAACTCTAAAGCTACTACTGCAGAAAAAGCTGTTTTTTAACTCCACATAAGCTATTTTTAATTAAAAAATATATATAAAACAAAGTGCAAACTATCTTGTCACCTTTCAAATTTCAATAATTTATTAGCAGTAGGTAAGCTAATCCATCGCTGTGTTTACTGGTATATTTACTGAAACAGTAAACCTTTTCACACCTTCTTCTACCACTGCAGCTTTAACATTCAAATGAGGCTTTTGTTCATAAAGTAAACATCCAAATGCAGTTAAATAAATGACAAAGAACTCCTTATACAAAGAAGCTCAATCAACATAGAAACAAGTGACAAAGCCAGTCAGCTTTGAAAACTTTCAAATTTGACACTCCTTTTGGCTCATTAGCCTCACTGAGACTAAAGAAAATTATAAAGTTTGAAGCAAATTAAAATGATTTTCACCTTTCAGAGCAAAGTGCTAAAGATTTATCGCAGCTCATTGTCACTTTGTTTCTTACTATTCTTTTCTTTTTAAGTGCTTGAAGGCACATGTGCTTGTGTTTGAAGGGTGTATATTCTGCTGCTGCAGCATGGGCTTTTTTTTTCAGCTTATCTTCAAAAAAACCTTTTGAACTGCACACATGCATGTGAGCGCAGTACAGTATAAAAGCTGGCCAGCAGAGGGAACTAGCAAATTAAAAACTGTACCATAATGACATGATTTGCTGCTTAACTGTAAGAGGAAACTGTAACCACTTCCTATCCCTGGAGTTTCTCTTCATTTTGCATCCCAAAGTAAACGAATGAATTCATGCCCACCAGATTATTACAACTTGAAAATTCCAGCTATTCACT